ATTTCCGACATGTGAGTCTCAGGACATGTGCCCATTGGAGATTACACCTAAGGTTTTAAGATCTTTAACCATTTCAATTGGTGAGTTATTTATCAAGAGATCGGCAGGCAGGCTAACCTTTCTAACAGCGATTACGAAAGGTGGTATTTACGAGCGCCGACTTGCTCTGTGCGAGCGGACGATTATCTAGTCAGGAGTTACACGGCGGAAGTGACGTCAGCGGCCTTATCACGCATACGCTGGGGCGCTACCGGGAAAAAAAAACGGATGTCAACAGCGCGACGCGCACAGTTGACATCCGGTAGTTGAGTTTAGCCGACAGAATCCAGTTCAATCCAATCCGACATTAGTCGTCGCGGCAATTTGGTCAGGTGTTTTTAACTTTGGTCATGCTTTATTTCTTGCGTTATGAGTTTCTCCAAGGCTCCACGCGAAAAAAACCTCGAGGTGAAAAATGGGACCAGACGGGAAAGTTAAGACTCTTGGATTCGATTCTACCTTACGTTGCTGTCATCCAGGACAAGTCGAAGGACCACGAAGTCAACATACAAGAAAAAAATGCCTGGAAAGTAATTGATTGAAACTTCAAAACGGAGTCGACGACGAAAGTTTCCGACATCGATCGTATCAGAGAACAATGGAGACGCATGAAGCTGACAGCAAAAAGTAATTGGAGGGATTACTCAAAAGAACTCTTGTGGACGGGAAGTGGTGCACCACCGAAGGAGCCATCCGACGTGAACACCACGATAAGAGGTGCTTTCCCTCAAGAATTTGTTAGAGACAGGAGTGCTTACGACGACGACGTGGAGATGGACGAAGAAACGTGAGTTCATCGAGTTATTCTACTTCGTTATTATAATAAATGTGAAACCCTAATTTTTGAGTTTTTTAGAACGACCGCACCAGAGCAACGTTTCGGCTGCGTCCAACAAGATTGTTCACTGGTGGACGAGGCCACACTGGAGCATGTATACCTACACCCGAGGAGTTGCTGCTCAGCACGTATGTCCTACTTTTAGGTGTAGTTAGAACGTTCAGAGCTTTGCTTCGGTCGAGCAGGCTTTATCAAACTTCATTGCACAAGATTCAAAATTGCCGAGCCATTTTTATTTCTTGATATTTTCTACAAAAAATGATGACGACGCAGATGGAAGAGTAAAAGAATTTCGCCAGTGCACACAAAAAGACGAATACATCCTTCCCCCCCCCCCCCTCCCTCCCGCCCCCCGCCTCAATTTATGAAGGTGTGAAGCGTTAATGTAGATGGTAGCTGCGAACATTAACTAACTAAGTATGGGTGCTAGCCAAGCAAGAAGAAGCGTGCATCTTGTGATAGAGGTTACTGTACTACCTGCAGCCAAGTGCCTGCGCCAGGGCCTGGAACATGTCTCTCCCCATCTTGAGGCCGTTGCAAGCACAGGCAGCAGCAGGTAAGCAGAGATTACGCTTAATTTTTGCACTCCCATGCTGTGGGACGTTTTTTCAATATTAGTTTATTTGCATGCCTCTAAATATGAGTGTCACATCTATCAGAAAGCCTGGTGCACTGTTACTGATTTGTACTTCCAAAATCTGCTCCTTCAGCTCATTCAGAACTAGAATTCTGCCTACAGCGCATTACCAAGACGCGCAACTGGGGACATAGGAAATTCAGCTGGAACACCTCGATGAACCGGGAGAGTTGCTCCTGAACACGTAAGTATGCTGACGAAGATGCTGTTACCTGACAGGGAACATATCTGATTCAGGCTGAATGACAAATTGTTTACCTATTTTCTGTAACGAAACAAGACAGAACCTCTACTGGAGTAAGAGCTCACCGCCGTATTCTTAAACGCTACTCGACTCGAAACTCGACTCGAAACTCGACTTGAGGGTGGTTTTGCGATTCATAAACAAATCTCCACTCGAAACTCCACTCGACTCCAAAATCTCCACTCGAAGCTCCAAAATTTACTCGAGATCTCGAGTCTGCGCCGGAGCTACCTTGAACGGCCACTCGAGTCACTCGAGTGCGTTCAGTGTCATGGCGGCCGACGCATCGTTCGCCGACTTCGTCGACTTCGTGTTGAGAACGGACGAAGTTCTTCATGACGACCAAGACCCCGACCAGGACGTCGATGTGCCGAGACGACGTTGCCGGGACCGGCTCAATCCGCTGGAGCATTTCAACGATTGGGAGTTCCTGGTGCGCTATCGTTTTACAAAATCGACAGTCGTAAGCCTCCTGCAGTGCCTGCCGCTGGAAGCAAACGAGAGCAGTCGCGGCCTGCCACTGTCCCCGATGCTCCAGCTCCTCGTAGCGCTGAGATTTTATGGCGCCGGGACTTTTCAAGTAGTCACGGGCGACCTCGTGAACGTGTCGCAGCCGACGGTGTGCCGCGTAATCGAGCGCGTCTCCCGGGTCCTCGCCGAGACTCTCTTCCCCCGCCTCGTGGATTTCCCGGAGGGCGACTGCGACGAGGTCATGCGGGATTTCTACAACATCGGGAAGTTCCCCAGTGTGACTGGGTGCATCGACTGCACCCACGTCAAAATAAAGGGACCTGGCGGTCCCAATGGGGAAGTCTTCAGGAACAGGAAGGGGTTCTTCTCCCTCAACGTGCAGGTAAGTTCACTTCTGTCTGTGCTGTTAGCGGCAGCGAAGTAAGTTGAAAACAACGGCACGCCAAGACCCGGTGTGGCACGTGAAAGCTCGGCGATATTGCGACTGATATAGACTAGAACTTGTAGAGAGATCTGCACTCTGTGACAGTGCAGAGTGGTGGTGGGCCAGCTAGAGAGGGTTCAAAACCAAGAATTATGTATTGTGTTTGGAAACATACATTTAATCGGGTGCCGAGGTGGCTTTTGTTATTTTATAGCAAACGGTCATGTTTTATAGCATTTTCCCCTTGAATTATACTTTTCGAACAAAATATTAAGGAGATTTTATCCCGTGCTCAAATTCTCTTCTATTATACTGCGTGAAAAACCTAGGAATTAAGCCACATTGAAGCTTACGTCACATAAAACTGCGAGAACTCAAATGCTAGTTAATTTCCAAAGCTTGCAGATGCACTTTGTCAAAAATATACTAATCATAGTAGAAATATCAGCTTGAGCACTTGTGTTCATATCATGGCAACCTGCTCATCCCTGTACTGCTCCTTCCTATCCACAGGCCATCACAGGACCCCAGCTGCAGTTTTTTGACCTTGTTGCTAGATGGCCAGGCTCCGTGCATGACAGCAGGATATTCGATAACAGTCGTGCAAGGGTCCTGTACGAGAATCGGCGCATCCCTGGCCTGCTGCTCGGAGATGCAGGCTATGCCTGCATGTCATTTCTTCTGACGCACCTGACCAGCCCAGGTGTAGCCAACAGCCCAAAGGGCAGGTATGTACTAATTTGTTGGAAGAAATAATGGCATGAAATTCAGAACAGCTAACAAGAAGTGATGTTGTAGCCACAGTGTTCCTATTGGTTACTATGTTCTGCAAATCTTTGTCACAGCTAGATTCATGACCTTTAAGCCTTTGTATGGCAAAAAAAGCTGGCATTATTCACTTCCTGTGGACAAATTTTTGTTTCAAAAGTATGTAGCATACAACATTTTAGTTCTATTTTTATTTTCCTCGAGAACATTTGTTGTTCTTCCTCGTCACAGTTAGTCGGTGTCAATTGTTGCTTTTTGTCACTAGAATTGGACTAGGGCCAAGAACTTGAATTAAGACGGTAATGTAGAAAACACCAGCCAAAACCACTGTATGCAGAGCAGTAGCCTCTGGTAAGCAATAGAAAATGCCGAAAATGCAGCTAGCATGGATGGGCCGCACTGTACAGGTTACTGAACCATACTGATGGTTGCAGCAGTGGCGATTTTTACACCTGAAGACCTTTATCTTGCAACGTTGCTTCCATTACCAATGCTGCACCATATAGGTACCAAGCAGCTCACCTAAAAACAAGGAACTCGGTCGAACGGGCATTTGGAGTGTTCAAGCGACGCTTCCCATGCCTGGACATGCGGCTACAGTACAAGGCGGAACGGTCAGCCCTCATCATCACCGCCTGTGCTGCACTGCACAACCTGGCCCTGCTGCGAAAAGAGCCATGCCCACCTGCTCTACCCTCTCCACCAGTACCCCGACGCCGGAGGCGGTTGCGTCCTCATGTACTGCCATCACCTCCAGACCCTGTCGACACAATCAACGGCTCGCTGAAACGCACACAGATCATCGCACTGTGTTTCCAATAGGGATATTCAACCAGTAGCACATGTTTATAGTCAATGACAGGTCAAGGATAGTGTACAAGCTGGAGAGGAGGAAGCAGACAGAAGCTTGAGGTGGAGAGGAGAAACCTCCTCTCCACTTAAAGCTTCCATCCTACTTCTCATCTCCAGCTTGTACTCTGTTCTTGACCCGTCGCTGACTCGTGCAAATACTCGGACACAAATTCAGTAGTAAGTGCTGGAATAAATTGATTTTCAAATCCAATTCCGCGTATTTGGTCAATCTAACATATTCTGGGAAAGACTTGTGGCCAGCACAGAGCTAACGAAAGACCTACCCTTCCCTTCAATTGTAGTGTGCTGTTTCATTCAACTTCTGAATATGCAAAACACATTAGGTTCTATCGTTTCACTACAATGTAGCGCACATAAAATAAATAAGTAAATCCTCGGAATGCTTTTAAACTGAAAGAATCCAAATTTAATTGTGATTTCCACACCCTTGTAGCTTGCAGCGCAGGGCTGCCAGCTGCTCCACCTTTATCTCTCTCTCCAGCTGGAGCAGCTGGAACTCTGCCTGTCCGCGTCGTCGCTGCTCAAAAAGCTTGTTGCGGAGTATGCGCATTTGCATTAAATGTTGCGCCTCCTTCCGCCGATCTTCCCTCTCGAGGATGTCTACACGGGCTTCCTTTTCGGGAGCCATGATCCGCTCCAGTGCTGCGATGCGGTTTCCAGTTCTTCTGGATGCCCCGCTTGGCAGCTCAGCACGGGGGCAGGTGATGCTCCTTGCCGGCGGAGTCACACAAGCAGCTCCAACGCTGCTGTCTTGGAGAGGTGAGGCGGACGGATCAGGAGCATCTGGGCGTGCAAAACACATTGGCACTGTGAGTGCTAGGGGAAGAGGCCCAACAGCCACATGGGCCTTTCGTAGAAATGTTCAAAGCTAGGCGTTGGCAAATTAGTCAAACCTCATTATATCGAACAGTGCAAGGACCGTGAAATAGTTCGATATAATCAAAATTCGATATACAAAGTCACACACAAAAAGAGCGTCAAAGTACAGCGCGATTTAATCAGTGAAAGGCTAACGGCAAAAAATTACTATACTTCGTTTCAGCTTCCGTTCGAGCGCAGCCAAAGGCTGACGGACGCTTCGCAACTTCGAGAAGAGCATTTTTACGCGTCGCAAAGTAGTCCGCAAAAGTAATTTCTTTTAAACAACTGTTTTGTGCGTAAACGTTGCACAATATTCCAGATGTGTACTGCTGAGAATGATTTGCAACTAAAGGAATTAAATATCTGAAGTTTAAGTTCTTATTAATATATGTAGATACATGTGGTTTGGTGAAAAAACGTACGTCCGCTGGCAACACGGCTGCAGCGCTCAGTTTTGATTTTGTTCCTGTAATTGCCGAATCATGTGCTTCGCTGCTTGTTCGTTGCTTTCCTCACCGAGTCCCTTCAAAATGTCCTTTCGCAAAGGCATGTCTGGGCGTCAGGCGCGAGAGGTCGTGATGAATGTCTACTTTTCAATTCTGCAGGAGACTCCGGCCGCGTCCTACCGCAAATGCTTTGTAAACAAGAAAAGCGTCCAGGCCACTACAATTCCCTGATACACAGCGAAATCAGGGCACCCCTTTACCTGCCGATCACATTGTACGCCAAGAAGCTGGTAGAAAGGACTGTGGCTCGAGCCCTGGTATATCCAGACAATACAAGGAAACATCAACGGCCGGGTCGTCGGGCATCTTGCAATGTCTACTTACATCTCGAAACTATGCCGAAATGCCGAACAGGTGGAAAGCTCGGACACAGACGCCAGCGGCCAGCATACGTACTGACATCCCCTGCGACTAAATTTCAGGACGTGAAAGGTCACTTTTTAAACCTGTAGCAGACGATTTCGTTGATACACCCGTAGCAGACGAAATACTCGGTGAGCGCGGGCGGCGCGGACGGCCAGCGGCGCAGCGGAGCGATACCAAGTGCAGGCGAGATCGCGTGACCAATTGCCGGCGTATTGATTGGCTCCGGCCACACGTAGCTTTGGCTGCGTTCGGACGGAAGTTGAAACGAAGTATAGTATTCACGTGAAGCGTTAACGTGAACTATTTATTCTGACGAAAAAAACTGCCGCAGCGTAGATTGCTGCATGGAGCTGACCGCATGCCTTATTACGGCCGGCTCCACTGTCTCCAAGCAGTTCATCAGCGCCAGATCACTACCGTCGATTGCACTGCAGTAGCGGCGTAAAAGTGAGACCGTCTTCCCGACAATGTTGTAACAGGCTTTGAAGCGTTGCAGCCACCCGCTACTTGCGGCGACGTTTTGTGCTTGGTGGATGAACGCGAAGTCCTTTGCTTTCTGTTGAAGCATCGGCCTGACGCCGGAATGTTCCGAGCCCTTGCGTCCATAAACCACTTGTGAAGTGATCTTTCCACCTTTTCGAAGGCCGGTGTCCGAACACGGCGTGCGCTGGAGTGCTTGCTTTGTTCAGCCTTCGGTTTGATGTCACTTTTCGTCTTCAGCAGCGTGCTCAAAGTGCTTCGCAGTATGTTGTACGCTTCGGCAATGCTGGACTTCTTTTTCTCCTTTTTCAACGCGGCGGATGATTTCAAGCTTTGTCGCGAACGTCAGCGACGTACGTTTCTTTACGATTGTTGCCATCCCCACATGCGGTTGACGCAACGTCGGAGGAACAAACCCGGAGCCACGAAACTGCACATGCCCGAATGTCGCCGAATCTGGATGGCGTTCCCGGCACCACAGGCATAAAGCTTTATGCGGGCATGCGCTTGAATAAAAGTCGCAAACGCCTGCTGCGCCACCGCTATCCTACGATGTGTTGCGGGAAAGCCCGTGTTCCAAAACTTACTCGATCTAACTCTAGGGTAAATGTGGTTGTCGAAAACCTACCCGCGTCCAGCGTTTCTCTATTTTTGATGTCGCGTGACATAATCCGCCAGGGTAACTCGTATCCATTCGAGTAGGTTTGGAACGCAGCCTCGGTGTGTCGCGCTCCTGTACGCTATGCGCCGTTTAGTTGCTGCACTCGGAGTAGGAGGAGTAAAAGAGCGCCACAGATACGGTACGCCGCCAACGACGGTTTGGCGGGATGGCGGATGGCTGCGACTGCTGCTGGCGGCAGCTGCCACGACTCACTCGCTGTCGCGGAAGAGCAACGAGAAGGCACGTGATCTGTACCGAGTCTTCCCAAAATTCTGTGCCGTCGTGGCGCTGTACGCTTTGCAACAGGTCTATTAACCACTAGTTTTGGTTTCAATTCACAGTACTATCCGTACTATGTCACGACCCACTGCTTGCATTTTCAATTTTGGAACTTCGAAGATATGTACAATAGTGTAGACGTTGCCGAGCAATAAAAGAAAAAGGCTTCGGTGCCTTTTTTTCTGTTCCAGATTTGCTGTTAAAATGATACAAGTCGCAAATACAAGTAGACATGTTACGGCTCACGGTACCCATCCCCGACATGTTGGTGCAAATTTGTCGCAATCCAAAAGCCCACAGTTACCTGGCACGTCGTTCCAGCAGGCGTGATTGTCATTGCCTTCAGTGCCTCGCACCATTGCTTCAAACATTGCAGCCGGAGGCAGCGACAGCACTGGCCGGTCTCTTGCCCTGTCGCTGTCGCAGAGATTTGTGACCACTGTCCCCATGTGGTCTGCCGCCGCTCCCACAAGAATGAGTGAGGGGCTCATCGGCCGGCTTGTTCGTGGCCCACCTCCTGTGACAGAAACCAAAGAATTTGAAGCTCAGATTGGAGAGAGTGAACAATGTATGGGACGAACAATTCAAAAAGCACACTGAATTTTCGAAACGCCTCCGTGCGAGATAAAAACAATTGTTAAGGGGACTAAAGCGAACCTAACGAAGAGAAAATCTAGCACAACCCAGTGGAGGCCCACCTGGAACCTTCTTATGGGCAATTGAATGCTGGGCACTTTGTTAGATTAGGCTTCCGGCAAGATGCGGGGACCTCATTTGTTTTCAGTGACGATTGTAAAAAAAAAAAAATGTCAATAACGCCAAATGTTCTACAAAAAAATATGTCAAGAAAAAAGCAAAGAAGTAGGCCCACTTTGGATCGAACCTGAATCGGTGCATGCGTATGAAGCGAACTTTGCAACGCTACAGCTTTGAACAACTCGTTTTGAAAATTCGCTTTATACGAGACCCGGAAAGGAGCACGACGTCGTGCACATAGCATTGTTCTGGTCGAAAGGACTTCTCTCCGATGTTTACTTTTTACACATCGGGAACGGTTTACCAAATATGCAAATTGTCGACTTACCCGTGGCGTGGATGTCTCTCGTCTCGTCGGACTAGGTTTTTTTGTATCTGGATTTTTCGTTCTCCCCAACGCTTCTTGAGTTGCTTAGCGCTTCGTGGGCGGACGTTTGGCTGGCTGTTATACTCGGTGCTGAGTTTCTCCCAAGCTTTAAGTTTAGCCTCCTTCGAGTAGTTATTTGTCTTCTTGTTTTCAAGAACTCGCGCATGTTGCGTTACGAGCGCTTGGAGGAGCGCCTTCTCCTCCGCAGTATAAATAAAACGAGCCCCTGCCCGCTCTTCGGTATCGGCCATTTCCGAGTCGTTGCCGTTGGGGTCCTCCATGATTTGTCGTGCGAGGCGGCGAGGCGGCGAGGCGACGAAGCAGGGCTGCACGGTAGACAAAGGGCGGCGAAAGCAAGAAAAAACGAGACGAAATCGACAAACCGTGAGATAGACGACTGTCGACGAGAGAACGACGAGACGCAGCCGACGCAGCTCGCGAATGCGCTTGTTGCCAGACAAGGTAACGACTTTGTCCGTTTTGCCGCTCAAACACGTCTAAACTTTACGCTGCCTTAATAAAACTTCGTAGTTCACTAATTCGATGTTTGTATGGTACATGTTTTTAGATAACACGAACGAATATATTTACTTTTCACGTAAAAACGGTGTTTTAAATAAAACCTTTGGCTATAATCTCGCTCCCAGACGTCCTCAAGCTTGTTGGAGTGGAGAACGGAATCTCGAGTTCGAGTGAGTGCCGATTCGCGTCTGTGAATACCAATGGCACTTCGAGTGGAGTCGCGCGTCCATACTCCACTCAAGTCGAGTCGAGTTTGGAGTCGAGTAGGGGAATGTTTATGAATACGGCGGTAGGACGTTTTTTCAATATTAGTTTATTTGCATGCCTCTAAATATGAGTGTCACATCTATCAGAAAGCCTGGTGCATTGTTACTGATTTCTACTTCCAAAATCTGCTCCTTCAGCTCATTCAGAACTAGAATTCTGCCTACAGCGCATTACCAAGACGCGCAACTGGGGACATAGGAAATTCAGCTGGAACACCTCGATGAACCGGGAGAGTTGCTCCTGAACACGTAAGTATGCTGACGAAGATGCTGTTACCTGACAGGGAACATATCTGATTCAGGCTGAATGACAAATTGTTTACCTATTTTCTGTAACGAAACAAGACAGAACCTGTACTGGAGTAAGAGCTCAGTATCTTGGCCTTCTTCTGGAGGTTGTGTGATGTCCGAAGTAAAATCACTAGTTTTCCTATGCAAAAGTATATTTTTAAAAATTTGCATCTTCATCTTTGCAGCAATTTGCTAAATGTCTAACCAAAGCATGAAAGCAGAAGCTGGTAGGGAAACTTGATTTTTGTCTTGAGAGTACGGGTTTAATTAATTAATCATGGTACCCAGTCTTTATGCGTATCTGTGTGCAGTTTCTACCATAATGTGTTGTGTATGTAAGAAACTTAACAGTGCATCACCATGTGAGTGAACGTCCAATAAGGTGCTTGTAAAACCACTGCACTATTGTGCGTTCAGTGACTTACTGTCTTGTGCTGTGCGTGGTCAGGCGCGTCCTTGCTTGTGCAAGCTTCAATGTGTGCATTGAGTGCTCCCGCTAGACCTGAAATTCTGTTCCCCGTTTTCTCTCTTTCTCTTGCCCGAGCAAGCCTACTACAGAAGCTGCCGGTCTAACCTTTTTGTTTTATTTCCGTCATAATAAAAATAGCTAAAAGAATCTCCCTAGTGAAAAAAGTAATTTGTATGAGAAATTTCTTGTGTCCAATAAACAGTAATGAATGATACAAGATATATAATAACATATAAGAGCCATGTAAGAACTATATAAAAACTCCATAAGAACTACATAAGATATATAAGAACCATATATGAACTTATAACAAACTTCTCACAAGTCTCTTATATGGCGCTTGTATGTTCTCATATATCTCATGTAGTTTTTATATAGTTCTCATATGGTTTTTATATGTTCTTATATATCTTGTATGATTCATATGTGTTTATTGGACAGAGATATTTCTTATACAAATGAGAATATTCAATAGGGCTTTTGAGCTCCAGTATGGCTGAATACGTTTTGCTAGTCATTTAGTTAAAGGTAATTTATCATTCCTAGATCCTAAATCTATTCCTATTCAGTCTGATAAGCTCCAACATGTACAGGATAGGGTGACCGAGTCATGACGTAATAATCTAAAATGTCTTTAACTATGCAGTACGCGGCCGACCACCCAACCTTCATTTACCTCGTAATGTTTTGTAATGTTTTATTTGCTCAGGAGAGCCGCGGCACCGCAGAAAGGCAAGAGCCCGTACCAAGGAGGCCCGCGGTGCCGTGTCTAGTGATGGTGATTATGTGATGATGTAATGTACAGATGAAAGTTATGATGTGTTAGGCCTAGCAGCAATCTTCGCGGTGATGGTCTTCGCGGTGCTGCCGTGGGCTGCTTACTTCTGGTAGGCCGGTCTCAAGCGCCTGGAGAGGGCTCTTCGCTTGCCATGCTTGCATACGAGCCGGCCGAATTACCGGCGGCGCAGGGAGTCCATGCACCTCGTGGTGGATCCACCTCGTGGTGGATCCTTGACTGTCAGAAGGAACAACGGTACTGCAACTGCAATGCAGCGACGTGCTGGCACCAGGCATCACAAAAGGTGTGCATTTTTGTACTCGTTGCGAAACTCCGCAATAGGGAGTGAGTATTGAGTGTGTTAAAAATAACGTTGTATTTGAAAGATATGGTGACACTATTCTTTGCATGCACAAAACGCTTGCGTATGCTATACTAAATCTCCCTGGTAACATCGCAGACAATACCTCCGCGGTGGCGAAAGTCGAGTTACTCTAGGGCAAAAGATTTTTCTTGAAGCATTGTTTGCCTAAATTTTGGGCATAAAAAGAAGGCCTTGGAACTCTTACTTTGTGGGAGCCGAGGGTGAAAGACGAGGCAGAGGGCACGTGACAGGCGGTCGGCGGAGAAGTCACGAGCTGGGGCGAGACAGAGCGGGCGGAGCGAGGCTGGCAGCTGGACAAGGAACGTCGAAGCCAAGCTGCCTGGCGCGGCCCATGACAAACCCCGGAGCGGTCCACCAGCGAGGTCTGGAGCAAGACCGGTGGAAACGGCGAGCCCTGGCCATATGACCTGGGCTAAGACGATACCGGGCTAGTTCCGCAGCGCGACTCGGGCATTGATAGCCGGGGACAGCCAGCCTACGTAGCGCTGGCGTGGGAAAGGCGATCCCCATGCCTGGACAAGGACTCCGAATGTGAGCTCTGATCGGCGGGCGACAACGAGATTCGGCGTGCCTGGACTTACGGCTCTCGACGACGGGCAACCGGGAGGTACAGTAAACCCATTCTCTGTCTTCTCGTTGCTGTATGTCACTCCCTGGGTGACGAGCGGAGCGCATACCGATGGGGCGGTGATTATGAGTAGAGGGATCTCCGTAAAGAACCCCGCAACTTTCAACCTTTCTTGGGTGACATGGTTCTCCCCAAAACCTTTGCCAGGTTTCAGTGCAACAAAGCGTACCGAACTCGTAGCAGACTGCTATAATAAAAAATTTCTGCAGCAGATGCAGTTCGACCATAATTTAATGATCTTTATATTTTAAAAATTGAGAACGCCATTGAGTCGTGCCTCCTCATGCTTATTCTTATATACTTGCGTTACTGTAAAGTTTGGTATTTTTTTGTTTTTTTGGGAGAGCCAATCGCTACAATATGCGGAGGGGGCTAGGCCAATGGCGTAAATGAAAATATAATTCTACATTAAAAATAAAAACACTTCGCCGTGGTATCGAACATCGCCATGCTCCATGCCAGGGCGCAGGCTGTTTCTTTTAGTTCTTTTTTTTTTAGATCTAGCCATAATTTTAGCCTCGTCATTTGCCTAGCTACTTCGGTAGATGGCAGCAGCTGGTTCTCCCAAGTGCTTTACGGAGAAGTATACCCTCCAGATTTCCCACAGTGTATAGATACAAACCTTTCCGCAAATGTTAAGCATCGTTTTGCTAATCTTGTTGCTTTTTCTTTTTTTGCTGCAAAATTGCGTTATATTTTGGAACAAAATCGATCGGACAGTGTTGCTCTGTTATTGGTAGTGCAAATATAAAAAAAAACATGTATATCAAACGACTAAACAGCGTGCTCGGTTCCTATAGCGTAAAACAAAATGCATCCGGAAATAAAGTATATTCACCGAACATGTACGCCCGAAAGATTCAGGGTCCCGACGTTTCAAAACTGATTTGGTTTCTTCTTCGGCGGTTGACTATTCACAAACAAAGAGCGGCTACTAGACTCGTCGTTTTTTTGGGTGGTTGCCTTTTTCATTTCTTTGTCAGGTGACCTAGTTCAGTGATGTGTGCAGAAGGAAAAGTTCCGATGGATCGATTGAAGTTTCCTCGTGTTGGCAGAATGTGCCACAATTCTATTTAAAGCCTGTGGGTTTATATCCGCCTTGCAAGTGGGCCGCATTCGGTCTTCTGCGCATGGGAAAGTAGGTGTGAAGGTGGGAGAGGAGGTTATACTAAATTCCTCCTGCTCGGGGTGGGGGGGTCGCGGATGTAGACATCTCGGCGTCGGGAATGGCGGGTGTGCTCTAGCAGCTGTGGCTGTAGCCGTTAATCCTTCGCGTAATAACTAAATAAAAAAAAAAAAAAAAAAAAACGTTCCGCTTTTTTCTTTTTTTGTTGTGATTTAGAGGTCGGCTGCGATCAGGCACTGTCCAAGGCGCAGTGTTACCAGGGGATATGAAAACGTGCTGCGTCTTTGGAAATGGTGGAGCATTCACGACGGTGTGCCGCATTTTAAATTTCCGGGAGGATTGACAGATTGAGAGCTCTTTCTTAATTCGGTGGATGGTGGTAAATGTCCGTTCTTAGTTGGTGGAGCGATATGTATGGTTAATTACGGTAACGAACAAGATTTTAGCCTATTAAATAGGTGCGTGGCTCTCCGCATCTTACACCCTTCTTGCATGGGACAAGCTGCACCTAGCCGCACGAAACAGAGCA